TCATTGACTGTTATGCACAAGAGGCTCTTTACTGTATGAACATACTTCTGTATTTGGGGTCTAGGGTGTAAATGAAAAAACATGGTAAAATAATCTTGAGAAGCAGTGCTACACTAGTTTTGGTGCTTTGCTAAAGATTAGAAATGACCTTTTGTTAAGATTAACTTTATTTTTAATTATGTGTGAGTGCAAGCATCCATGGAGTCTAGAAGAGAATATCAGATCCCCCAGAACTGAAGTTACAGTTGGTTGGGAGCCAGCCAATGTAGGTGCTAAGAACTGAACTTGAATGGAACGTGGGTCCTCTCCAAGAGCAACAAGAGCTCTTAACTGCCTAGTCATCTCTCCAGCCATCAAATGAAAAATAGAAGGTGGACTTTTCTTGGAGTGAGGTTAGTTCAGACTGAATGGAATATATATAACATACCCTGTTTTAGTATTTCCAATCATGGGCAATATTTCCTGGGGTTGTCATAAAATGAAACTATAAAAGACTTTGTCTTTCAAATTATACTTTCAGATATATTTAATATGCCAAAACTCAAAACATTAAACTATTTTTATGATGTTTATATTCAAAATTTCCAGAGTATTCTCAGTTTTAAGTTAAGTTCTCAGTCAGTATTCATTTATTCTAGCAACTAATTTGCTATATAATCTCTAAATTAAACTAGAAAGAAGTCTGGCTTACAAGCCACATCAAAGAAAGCAACAGAAAAGTCTAACAAAATTAGGATGATGGCAAGAACAGACAACCTTATCTAGAAACGTACACCCTGACCTCTCCTGTTGTCCTGGGTTTCCTGTGACACTGTCTCTGTTCCAGACATTTATGGTTCAAATAAAAGCTTCCCACATTAGATGCTATATGGTTTACAGCATCTTTAATATTTGTTGTACAATGGTATTTAACAGTTGGTTTGGAGGCTGGGATCAGTATCACAAATTATGCTAACTTCTACTTACACAATACACCTAAATTATAGGAATCACTAGAATGTGCGTGAAATAACTGACATCACTGTTGTTTTTGGAAAGAAAGCAGACACATGTTATATCTTATCTAATGGGTCGTGAAAACACTAGAAGTGGAGAAGGCCTGTTGGAATCCCAGCTCTCATTTGAAGACCGTCTCTCAATCAGAATTTTCTCACTTGAAAAAATGATACCAGCTGATATCCACCTTAAGGTCCAGCTCTGAGTATTCACCATTCAGTAATTCTGTAACTTTAGCCTCCAAAAATACTTTCAAAATTACAACAGTTGGGGACTGGAAGGATGGCTCCGCAGTTAAGAGCACTGGCTGCAGTCTGAATTCCAGCACCCATGTGGCAGTTTAAACAACCAGTAACACCACTTCCAGAGGATCTGATGCCCTCTTCTGGCTTCCAATGAGTACTAGGGACCAATGTGTGCACAGATATCCATGCAGGCAAAACACTCATACACACAAAATCTTATTTTTAAAAAATTGTTTTGCATCAACTAAATTGCACTATTAATGGAAGGTTTGTTTTCCCTCTCAACTGGTAATTAACATGGTTTCTCCTCATACAAAAGTCTATTTTCCTCTGAGGCTGGGTAACTCTCCTTCACCCTAAATGGAGAATCCTAGCTATTTGAACTCCTCTCACAACTCACCTGCTTTGAAATCTCGGGATCTACTCATCCTCACTTTTCTCTACACCACTTTCATGCAAATCCTTATCAGCTTCTACCTAGAGAACAATTATAACTGCTTGTAATTTCCAGCCTTAAAGAGTTTCCTATCACATTGATATCCTACCAGAAGGTAGACACTGGTTCCTTAGACCATCTAAAGATCATGTATGTATAAGTTTTCAGACTTATAGTAAAAGACCTCCACACCCCATGTCTTTTTTTTTTTTTTTTCGAGACAGGGTTTCTCTGTGTAGCCCTGGCTGTCCTGGAACTCACTCTGTAGACCAGGCTGGCCTTGAACTCAGAAATCCACCTGCCTCTGCCTCCCAAGTGCTGGGATTAAAGGCGTGCGCCACCACCACCTGGCTACACACTCCATGTCTTAAAGACTGTCTGATTAACTGCTTGCTATTTCTGCTACACAAAATTCCTGTGTGCTTTCTAGGTTTGGGTCTTCCTGTATTCCCACTCCAATGGTAGTCACCCTCATCTAGACATTACAGCTCCCTCTTTTGAATGTCCATGGTACTGACAGAATGAGACAATTCCTAAGGCCAATTTTAAAAGCTAGCTAAATTTATCCCTAGTGCCATTTTGCTTGATACCTGGCACTGTCTTGGTAAGGATTTACTACTTACCACAGGAAAGAATGCCAACACAATTCTGGCCCACACAGAACAGAGCTTCTAAGCTACAGACACACATACTAGGGTTTGCTGGGCTTCCATGATAGAAAAAGATGCTTGATGAATTAATCATTTACATATTTAGGACTTTTCGTGTCCAACAATGATGTTCCCCATCCCTACCTTCCATCCTCCATGACTTTTGTCAGACTCTGAAAACATTCTACATTACAAATACTGAGTAGGGAGAACTCCTGGTAATAGTGGACATCCTGCACTACAAAAGACACTCCTCAAATAATTAGCTGGTCCAAAATGTGTCCATGATGAGAAACTCCAAGATAAACATGCTGTATGCAGTTGTAGGTTCTATTTTCTAAAAGAAATTTTGCAGTTTTTCAAAGTGCAGCTCCTTACCGTCAGTAAAGAGTTTAAACACAGCATGGAGGTTGATGGCTCCTGAAATTACTAATGGTAGGACATCCTGTAGTTACATCAGCATATACCTCAAACCTCTTATGTATAAAGCAGAAGAAACACCTAATTCACCCAGACACTCAAGGGAAAGGAGGTATATAAAGTTTTTAGATGGGTATACCAGGCAGATGATAAACAGTTGTTAAGTTTGCCAACATTCTTCCCCTTACTGGTTCCCAGAAAATGCTTAGCTTTTACTAGGGTGAATACTACCAGCCATGACTTCCTGAGCAGGATAGTAACGGGTAAAAAGTGATAATTTCTTACTTGGGAAAAATGAAGCATGCACCCATCTAATCTAATAACCTTTCTCTGTACTCAGAGCACCTTAACCTTCAACAAAAAGAACTGGTCCCATCTCACTACGTTCTGCCTTAAAATGTCTACATTTTTCTTTTTAATATCTAACAATCTTATGAAGCGCCTCAAGCACTCAAGAATGGAATGCCATCTCCTTTTGACCCTTACATCAACAACCTTGTATCATCGTTATTTAAGTACATATTAGAGCTTTCCCACCTGATTGTACATGCCCTCTGTGGACACTGACAACATGTGACCTCTCTTTATGTAACCCAAGAGGGTCTAACAGACCTTAGAAACTAAGATGGCCCAAGCCTCCTGCTTCATAGATTAGACAGAGGCTAATTGACCTGCCAAAAGTCAAGGTCATTTTAAGTGACAGAGCTGGAATTCAAACAAGGCTAAGAGAAGAGATTCCAAGTTCTGCCCAATCATACTGAAGTGGAAAACCATGCTTGTATTACAATGTTTACCTAAATTCTAGGTACCCTCACAGAAACAAGACCTATGCAGCTAGCTGCTTGACTGACAAAAAAAAAAATTGAAAGAAGATCCAAAACCTAAACTATTACTAAAATTATACCTCAATAATTCAATCTATTTTGTTCGGTTCTGTATCTTATTCTTTCTTTCCTGCTTTTCATAACATAACTTGTTTAAACATCCAGCTGACATTTAGCCACTGATATCAGCTCTTAAGGTCCCTTTAAATGATTCCATAATTATTTAGACTTCCAGAAAACCCCTTACTGGGTAAGCCAATACTGTTTCTTTGCCAAGAGAACACATTCTTTAACAGTTACCCCAACAGATTAACATTTATAAAATCAAAGAGCCAGAAATTTGGAACAATTATACATGGTTAAAAATACTTGTGCAATTACAAGTGTGCTAATAACCCCAACATAAGCCTAGAATTTCCAATAAACAAAAGTAAGCCATATTAAGGCTTAAAACAAATAGTTGTTTATAGTGCATTAATCTCGCAGTTTCTTAGTGTCCAAATATGATACAAAAGCAAATAAGAAAGGAAAAGTCTGTTTTAAACATGGATCTGAAAATGGGTTAAGTATAGTAAAATTCCCTAATATTTTAGTAATTACAGCTCAAAAAAACTAAACGTTTTCCAGAAATGCATTACTTGGGGGGTAGAGAACAAAAAACCAAACAAACAAACAAAAAAACTAACCAAACAAACAAAAAGAACCCACTTCTCCTTTGAGGTAATATTTGATTCTTAAGATACCAGTGCAAAAGCACTCAGGCCCAGCAGAAATGATAATCACTTACTGAGAACAATTTTTAATTACTTTCTCAGCTGATAAAAAAGAACACATACTGAACACAGACTAAAATGTAGTTTCAAAGGAAAACAAAACGCAGTTTATGCTTCATGAAGTTCAAGGACAAAACTGTTTCCAATGCAACAGAATCCGCCTGACTACAATGTGCAGAGACAGAGAGAAAAAAATGCGAACACATAGTATCTTTTTATAAAAGCAACAATTTAGCTACAAAGTAATAACGGGGAAGCCAAAACAGTTTGACAGCCCGCCATAAGGGCCGCCTCAATCATGAGTCACACAATGCCTGCAACCATTTACAATAGTAATTAATGCACAAGTCCCCTAATTAAATTCTAAAAGGGTGAGAATGCTTTAACTAAGTTTACAAGAACTGCCTTTTGCTTTTCTTTTTAAGAACGAACACACTCGTAATTACGCGTCTCCCTGCAATGCCCCCCCCCATGCAATATTCCCTGAGGCCGTTTTTCCCGAATGTCTGTTCCCTGCGTGCGAAAGCAAATGACACGAGGTTGGGGGGGAGTGGGGGGGGAGTGGAGGGGGGGAGTCCGTAAACCCAGGAAGAGCGAAGCAGAGTGGAAACACACGATTATAAAGGGGCGGGAGACTGAAGGCTCGCCCATCTTACCTGCTAAGATTTCTCTCTACGTCTTTGGTAGCTTTAGCTTCCAATTCTCTGAAACAGCAAACAAAAACAAACAAAAAAAAAAAAAAACGGGGGGAGGGGATGCGCGTGAAAACGGAGCTGCTGCGGCAGAGCGCCCGCGCGGTGGGGGAGGGGCGGGGCTGCGGGCTGCAGCGCTGCGGGCCGCCGACCCAGGGCGGCCGAGCCCAAAGCCGTAGCCCGCGCGGGACCGAAGCTTCCCGGATCGCCCGTGACTCCCGCCCACGCCCGCGCCCCCGGGGACTGCCCCGCGCCGCCGCCCATCAGCCCGAGGGGTCCTGCGGCAGCGCCGTAGGCTGGCTTCTGGCCCCGAGCGAGCCTCCCCTCCGGTCCGCTCACCTCATGTGTGTAAAGTGCACTAGCGCGTGGGGCGCGGGGAACGAGGCTCGCAAGCCTCAAGCCCTCCGCAGCGCCGCGGGGACAGGCCCGAGCCGCTGCACCAGCGCCATTTTCTACACCGTCCCGCTGCCGCCGCCGCCGCCGCCACCGCTGCCGCCGCAGGCCCCAGACCGGAAGTGAATGCCCCACTCGCAACCCCTTCCGGGGGCGCGGTGGCCCCGGGTCCCCAAGATGGAGGCCCTAGCAACTAGGCCTGCTAGACAAGGCAGACTCTTGGCAACTGTCTGACGCGGCCGGGACCTCGCCGGAGCTATCGGGGAACTCCGAGGTTCCCCACGAGCGGCTTTGGGGCCTCGCAAGAGCGGGGCGCAGCCTTTTTCGCCGAGGCTGGCTCGGGCTTGACTCGGACCATCCCCTCCTCCTTCTTTACTGCGACACAAGTTTCCTTCCCCTCTGCCCGGCCCCTCCCTTACAGAAACACGCCTTTAAAAAAAAAAAAAAGAGCAAACCGCAAATTCCACCCCTGCCGCTGCCAGACTAGCCCGCGCTGTTTTTTAAATTCACCCACATCTAATTACTTTTGACCTTCAGCCAGATTATTTAACCTCTCTATTTGTGCCTCTTCTCAGGTGAAGAATGCATACCAGAGGTTTCAGTACGATTTTGTGCCTCAAAATTTTACACACCCTTGACTCAGCATTTCCACTTGGGCGAATTTCTTCTCAAGAAATGACCATTTTGGGTATCACTTTTAAGTACTTCACAATCAAGATATTAACTCAAAGCACAGAAAAGAAGATTGAAAAACTAACTGTAACCAGCTACGAAGTCTAACGTTATGATGTGGCATTAAACGCTACTTGCAGTGCCTGGGGTCTTGGTTACAATAAAAGGATGAAAACGCAGATGCCATATTACTTCTCAGAAAGGCATGTGAACACCCAAAGATGCTTATATTTGTGGACACTGTAAGATACGTGTCTGTAGATAAAGTATGTAAATCTACATGTAGATAAGATACAGCAATACAATACATGAAGATACAATTACTACAATTATTTTCTTAAATTACAATATAGACACATACCTGAATGTAAATAAAATAGGATACATACCTAGAGGTGGATGCAGCAATATAATGCATTAAGATACAGTTATTATAATGTACATAGGTACATGCATATTCAGTGCATATAATGCTGCTTGTAATCTGAAAATTTCTCCTCTACTTAAAATCTACTCCCTTTTACTTTCTCAGAAAACTCACTCTGCAGACTACCTCCTTTTGCTCTTTTCTATTCTAAGTCCTTTAACTGGCTTAAACTTGCTCCAGTCTCTCCCTTCAAACAAGCTCTGTGATTGTCTGGTTCTGCTCTGGGACAAATGTGTGTTGTTGTAAATAAGCTAATGACTGGGTGAATGCCCAGAAAGGAACTAACCAACGTGTTAACTTCTGCTTCGAATTTTTCTTTTTAGTGTTTAATTTTATGAAACTATAAACAGTTTTGGGAAAAAAATTGCAAATTGCAAAATGAAGAATAACAAATAAATGCTAGTAATTTTACATTTTAATGTTTTTGAGATGGGGTATTTCTCTATAGGCTTGGCTAGCCTAGAACTCTCTACTATGTAGGCCAGATTGGACTCAAACTCAGAAATCTGCCTGCCTCTGTCTCCTGAGTGCTAGTGCTGTATAATACACACACACACACACACACAGAAAGAGAGAGAGAGAGAGAGAGAGAGAGAGAGAGAGAGGGCTTCAAATTTAAGTAGGACCAATCCTGGTTAGATTCTTTGTTAAACTGATACAAGCTGGAGTCATCTGGGAAAAGCAACTCCAATAGAGAAAATGCCCCCATCAAATTGCCTATAGGCAACTCTATAGGCATTTTCTTGATTAATAATTGATGTGGAAGGACCCAGCTCATTAGGGGTAGTACCACTCCTGGGCTGGCTATCCCAGGTTGTATGAGAAAGCATGCTACAAGCCATGGGAACCAAGCCAGTAAGTAGCACAGTCCTCTATGTCTCTGTTTTAGTTTTTCCTCTAGACTCTTGTTGAATTCCTGCTCTCATTTCCCTGTAGGATGGACTGTGAGCTGACAAACTCTCTCCTCCCCAAGTTGTCAATATGATGTTCATCACAGTGATAGAAGGCAAACTAAGATAGGATGTTTCCTTTAAATTTTTGCCTTTGTTTCTGCCCTTACCTCAATACCCATCTTCTCCTCTCTCTCCCTCTCTCCCTCTCTCTCTCTCACCCTTGCCTTACCAAGAAAGTTAAATGACTAGACTAATAATTTCGGAAGGTAAGGATTAATTTTTCCTCTTTATCAAAAACCACAATTGGGGCTATAAAAAAGAACTCAGTAGTTATGAGAGCACTGGCTGCTCTTCCAGAGAAGCCAAGTTCAGTTCCCAACACCCACATGGTGGTTTACAACTGTCTATAACTCTAATCTCAGGATATCTAATGTCTTCTGGCCTCCTCAGGCACCAGTCATATATGTGGTATACATACACTGGTAAAACACTCATACACATAAATAATTTTTTTGCAGTGCTGAGCAAAAATGTATGCTAAGTAGCACTATACCACTGACCTATATCCCCAACCTTTGTTTTTAAACTTTAGAACGTCTCCACATTAATAAATAGAACTTGGACACACAAACATGTAGATACTTTCCTGAAAAGAGTGTATTTACTTCATTTAATTAGAATTTCTTCAGTACTTAATGCATACTATCCCAAACAGTTCTAAGTACTTTATACAAATATTAATTAGACACTAATTGTTGTCTTCGTATCTCTCACTGAGGTAGGAGTATTACATACCCCCTGTGCCAATAGATGTGATTAACTTCCCCAAAATCATGTAATAGGTGACTAAGATTATATGTGTGTCTGTGTACATTTGTGCATATATACAATTCCTTGCCATCCCCAAATGGTGATCACTGATAATCTAATCCACTATATATAATCAATATACAAAATATAATATAATCATTTCAAAAATATATGTGCACACACGCACCTATATACCGTAAAGGAGAAAGTAACAATGTCGTTCATTATATAAATGCTCAGAAGACTACATGTAGGAGTCTATGTCACACAGACTGGCATGCCAGGGTCTAGTCAGTTACATCTCAAAAACTAATTACGTTGCACACACCATTGCTCTAGAGTAGAGAACAAGGAAATGACTAAAAAGTCTGTGGACATCCAGCACAGGTGCAATGTTGTCCGAAATGTTTTCTGCGTGCAGCTGATTGAAGCTGAGGAGATGGATCCCAGCTAGATGCTTCATTAATGGAGATTTCTGTGCTATCATAAAAGAACCAAGAAGTACACCTCAAGAAAGTCTGATACTACATCGATGAAATCAAGATGAGAGGGAGAAGCAGGAAAAGCATGTTGTAATGGAGCCAAATGACAGGTCAGTAGTAACAGGACCAGTCCCTAAGCTGTTCCAACTAGAGACCTCAAGATTAGCTTTAACTTTCCCTCCCAGCTTGCTTGCTTGTCCTTCCTTCCTTCCTTCCTTCCTTTCTTTCTTTCTTTCTTTCTTTCTTTCTTTCTTTCTTTCTTCCTCTTCCTTCCTTCCTTCCTTCCTTCCTTCCTTTCTTTCTTCCTTTAAGATTGATTGGCTTATTTTTTCCCTCTTTTTTTTTTTGTTGGGTATTCTACGTATTTGCATTTCGTATGTTATCCCCTTCCCCCATTCCCTGCTCTCCAGGAACTCCCTATCCTGTCCCCCCTCCTGCTGCTTCTTCTATGAAGGTGTGCCCCCACACATCCACCCACTCCCCCCTCCCCGCCCTCGAATTCCCCCACACTGAGGCATCCCGCCTTCACAGGACCAAGGACCTCGTCTCCCATCAATGTCTGACAAGGCCATCCTCCACTGCATATACAGCCGGAGCCCTGGGTCCCTCCATGCGTGTTCCCAGCTGGCAGTTTAGACCCTGGATCCCTCCTGTCTTTCAGTGCAACACAGGATGTTTTATTTTGGAAGCATCTTCTTAGGTTTTTCTTCCTTTCTTTTCTCACTGACACTCCCCAACACACCTTGAAACCCAGGGACCCTTCCCCCAGCTCCTGTTTTCCTTCTTTTTCCTTGTGGTGCTATACTTTACACAGAACACGATTCACCCATCTAAAGTAAAAAAAAAAAATCTCCTGCATTATGACATATTATACATTCCTGTAGCCACAATTACAACCAATATAAGAGTTCTATCACTCAAGAAAATTCCCTTGTGCCTCTTCTCAGTCCCTTTCTACAGTCTTCTCCCATATGCTCGATGGGTACCAAAAATCTAGTCTTATGGTTCAATATCACCATAAATCAGAACACTCATTATAGAATGTCATATAAATGGAGTCACACAGTATTATACCCTTTTCTGTCTGACATCTCTATCTGAACAAGTCTAAGGTTCATTTTACATTGTTGCATGTACCAAATTTGTTTGTTTTATTGCTAATTTTTCATTGAATAGATATACCACAATTTGTTTGCCTATCTTCCCATTGATCAGTTTTTTTTTAGTAGGGGAAGGGGCTATTACTATCACTCGGTGGACAATTATGAGACAATTTCCTCCAGACTAAAACATGACCTTCTGGAGATCCTTACTCACAAGTTTGGGGAAAACTGAAGCATAGGACTCACACTGTTTCTCTCCAAGGTTCCCAGCAACAGACAACTGCTGGGGAGAAGAGACTCTCTAACCAAAGCGAGCGTCCAGTGTCAGCTTTCGTGAGTGGTCCAGGCTGTGGAGAGCTTTTTAGTGATGAGGCTGTCTTTGAGATACCCATATTGCTGTAAGTAGCCCAGTAAACTCCTTGGTCGTCAGTTGATGTTCCGTGACACTATCACTTTGGCCTGTGGTAGATGCTCCATTTGGAACGAGTAGAAGTTCACCTGCATCTCCCCAGGAAAACTTACACAACAATAGGCACAATTTTTCTTTCTCTTGGAAAAATACCTAGTGCTATAGTTTGGGTTATAAATGTCCTCTAAAGGTCATGTGGTAAAGGCTTTCCCCCCTCTGTGGTATTTCTGGGAAGTGGTGGAGTCTTTAGGTGGTAGGGCCTAGTGAGACTGCCTCGAGTATGCCATTGACAAGGGCTGGGAACCTCTGTTCCTTCTTCTTGGCCTTCTCAGCTACAAGGCATTTCTGTTCTGCCTTGATTTCTACAGTAGTGTACTCTGAACCCCAAGCTCATAAGCAATATGATCAACTGATCATGGGCCGAACCATCCAAAATGGTGAACTAGAAAAAACAAACAAACAAACAAAAAACCTTTTCTCATTCTAAGTAGATTATCTTAGGAGTTTGTTATGGTAAGAAGGAAGCCGACTAGCATACCTCCAGAATAGAATTGCTGCATCCCAGAGTACATGCGTATTTAACTAAATGAGAAAT